GTAGCTATTAGCGCTAATAGAGTGCGATTAAAACTTAAGTGGGTTATTTAAAGGTTTGGCACATGATCCTAGGTCATTTTGGTGCCTCCTACGTGAGTCATTTCTGAAGGCCCAGCTGCTGCCACCTTCTCCCTTGGTCACCATTGCATGAGAAACCCTCCAAGTCACCTCTTTTCTTTGATTTCTTCATCTCTAAACTAGTAGACACTTGTGAGCAACCTTGTGAGGGTGAGAGGTAGCCATTTTCTGAGTGTTCAGCCACTGTTTGTTGGTGTTTGTGGGCTGACTTTATAGTTTGAGTTGTGGGATCCTTTGTGATGGCATTTTGAGCTTCAAGAAACCATCTTTGGTGCAAAGAACCAACCTTTGATCACCATTTTCGTGTACCTTGGAAGTCAGAATCTTGTGGCTGTATAGAGAGCTCCAAGAGCACCCCTCTTTTCTGTTTTGAATCTTGGGTATGTTCATCAACTTTGATCATGAGTTTTTCTTGTTTAAAGGTTGAGTCTTGGCTTGTTAATGAGTTGGTTAAGTAACTAGCATGTGTATGGACCTATATATGCCTAAAAATGAATCCTTAGACGTATTTAAATGCTAAAAGTTGAACCTTTGGATGATATCTTCGCGAAAATGCAGAACTACATTCTGTCGCGAAATATCCGGATATGATATCCGGATATTGATATCCGGATATGATATCCATATATGGGGTTGGAGATATCCGAATATGGATATCCTGATATGGTATCCGGATATGCCCCCGACAAATATCCGGATATTCTGGGAATTATATCCGGGAATTTCGAGACAGTGACAGTTCTGTTCAGACAGAACTGTATTATGGGTTTATGGACCCGTGATTGGTTAAGTTGAACCTCTGTAATAATTAACTAAGTCAGAATCAAAGTGATTAAGGTCTTATGGCTTTGTGACAAGCCTAAAGACATGAAACGTAAAAGGAAAGCGTTGTCTTTATGTCATATGCTTGTAGATTATGATTGTTGATATGATTGTTGGTATAAACAGACTGTGAGAGTGTTGTTTGTGGACCTTGGACTTGGTTGGACTCTTGGTTGGATAGTTAGCTTGCGAGGTAAGCTTTCGTGTCCTCAGTTTAGTCATTGTTGGTTCCACCATACCCCATGGTGGAATGGTTTATATGCATGTTGTGTTTTCATTTATTGATTTTGAAATGCTGTTGAGCTGTTTGTGCAAGTGCCTTATGATATGCATGTGTTGTTCCACCTAGACGGTAAGCCTGTGTATGTAGGAGACATACCATAGTGTGATTATGTGGGTGGGTGCAAGTGGTGTCTTCCACTGATTGTAGGTAATAGACGTATGTAAATCCTGCATTTCTCTGGCCAGTAGAATAGTTGACAAACGTGACATGATTATTGTAAGAACCTGCACCGTTAATTAAGGAAGTTAATTAGTTAATTATGTGAAATTAAGAAATAATTCTATAATTGACCTTAATAATTATTATGAGGCTCTAATAATTATAGTAAGTGATTAAGAATGCTGAAAGTCGCTTTTCGGAAGAAAAGTGCAGATACCGGTTCTGCTAGTCGGTATAAATGCGTACCGATAAAGTATCCCGGAAAATTATGAAAAGTGAGTATATATTACTAGAATAATATATAGGACTTGTAAAACGAGTTTCAAGTTAAAATAATGAGAACTGGTGCCAGAACTAATACTGTCAGCGTGAAAAATGCGTACCAGAAAAGTGTTGCGAAAAAATAAAATAAAAATATGAAAATTCCTAGGAAAATATCTAGGTTAAGAATCTAAAATTTTGGAGCTAAGCGAAGAGCGAAACTAATTAAACTAATACTGCTAGTTTAACTTAAGAGACTATATAAATATAAAAGGATAAACTAATACTGCTAGTTTAACTTAAGAGACTATATAAATATAAAAGGAATCAAAACCCTAGCTTTTATTTTTAAAACTCAGCGGCTGAGTGTGGCCCTTTGCAGTTTTTTGGGGTCTTAGCTTTCTCTCTAGGAAAGCCTCTAAAGTTTCCATCTTTTCTTCCTCTCTTCCATTGAAACACCACCCATCCATTAAAGCTTTAGTTGTGTTGAAGGAGAACCCATTTTTGAAGATTTGGGTGCTTTCTAAACCTCTCAAGCTTTCATTTTTCTGTTCTAAAAGGAACCAAGGTAAACTTAATTATCCCCTTTGTAAATTATTGTTATATACTACTGTTGAACTATCATTTGTGAAATCACTGTGCGCTATTTTTCTCCTGTAGATCGCCATATTATTTTTGTCAATAACATTACCGGGTATACACGAGGTGTTACAATTATTCTGCTGCATTGCACTGATTTTGTAACTTATACTGTTTTACTGCTTTTAGAACTTATATTGCACATGTAAGTGAGCTTGGGGTGGAGAAATCCTTGAGGACCCCTTGTAGTTCCGTGATTTAGATACCCACTTATTTATATATAAGGTTATTCAGTGTACCTAGCTTTTATTGCAATTTACATACATGCAATGTTTTATGAAAAAGGATTAAATAATCAACTTGGTTATTGTTAATGACGTCATAATTGAAAGTAAAAAAGTTATTCCGCATTTTTATTAAGCAATGCTTAATACGATGAAATGATAATAAATCGGGTATACACGAAGCAACAAATAAAAAGTCATTTCACGCATCTTTGATTATCAGTTACTCAGTTAGTAATCTCCATATGCAGTTCCTATTATGCATAAACAGGGGAGAGGTTGGCAGATAGTAAGCAAAGGAAATCTCTTGATTATGCTTATTGACAAATATCACGTATAAGATGAGTAAAAATTGCACTGGAAAGATAACTCACATTTTGCTCAAATGGTGCACTTAACTGAATTTTGCTCAGGAAAAAATTAAAAAATTACCACCTTATCATGTTGAAATTGAACAATCGTATATCAATTCTATCACATTTTGAACAAAATTCAACAAACAAAGAACTAGTAAGAAACAATGATGGTTTGATTATCCATTTTTATTCAAAAATTTGAAGAGTCAAGAAACCATAATGGACACATTGTTCAATGAAAAGAGGAAAAGAACACACACAAAAAAAGGTTACCGTTAGGAAATGGAAAACACCATATGAACACAAGAGCCTTTCCAGTTTAGAAAGAAATCAAAACTATTGTAATTTACAACCATTGTACACAATTAGGGAGCAGCCAAGGACTCAATAGAAACCCATTTTCAGCAAATGATCATACACATTGTGAATTAAAAACATATCCTAAAAACACCAATTGAGTTATCATTTGTATCTTCACAAGACAAGTTTAAAAATAGATATCAGGAAAGCAAGAAAGGATATGAGAAAATGGAAATAAAGACCAATATATGCCTAACAAGTCATAATTAGACCAAAAATGTTAAAGTTAGAGTCTTGGGTGTTTCAGGGTAGAAATTTGATAACCGTTCAGAGAAAAATTACACCGGGTGTCATTAAATGACAGAAAGTCACTTAATGACATGGCGAAAATCCTAAAAATATAAGAAGACTCTTCCCCTTCCCTTCCCATCAGCAGCCCACTTCACTCTCTCTCTCTACCTTGGAGGTTTTCAAATTTTCTCCACCTTCTCTCTAAGATCCCACCACCTAAACTTCATTAAAATCCAAAACACTCTTCACCAAAGTTATTCCCCTCATCATCCTCTTCAATAATATCCTTTTTTATTTGAAAAACCAAATTTTCATGGTGGAGACCTTCCCATACAGCAGCGATTTTGGAGCTTCTTCATGCCATGGAGATGTTATTTTGAATTCTCTGGGAAGAACACTCCTTGGTGCTTGTTTTCTTGAGTCTAGTGTAAGTTTCTTACATTTTCTTCTTGAAAAACCCTACCTTTTCTTTTTTAAATTCATGTTCTTGGTTCTAAATCCTTGAATATTTCATGAAGGTGGGTTCTTGGTAAAAAAAGAAGCATTCTTGGTAAGTAAAGGTTGGATCTTGATCTAACGGAGCCATCTTGGAGAGGTAAGGCTTGAATCCATGGAAAAGATGAATCCAAACCCTTCTTGCTCCCACTTTCCATTTCGTCCATAATAATTATATGTTGACAATGATGTTGTAAATTATTAAAAATGGGGTCTTGATGGTTAAATGTGTGGTAGAGGTTTAAAACTCAAGAAAGATGAAGACTTGTAAGAAAAAGTGTCACCTTTGGCTTGTGTGTGAGTTGTTTTTGATGTGGATGAAATAAGAACCCTAAAAACTCCATGCTTTGATTCTGCCATCTTCATCAATATTAGGGTTTAGGGTTAAAATTAATAAAGGTGACACCTTTGGGGACTAAAGACATAAATGACTTAATTAAACCATGAAAGTGTGTTAAAAAGATAAGTAAAAACCTTAATCTTATGACTATGAAATTCAGCCATATGGATGGATATATATTAGGGTTTGATGTCTTAAAATGGTTCTAAGACTTAATTAGGACACTAATGGAGGGACCAAGTGAGGTGGATTAAGCATAATTGATTAATTAAATCTTAAACACATTTAAGGCTAAGTAACCAGTTTTTAGGAAAAATTGGGGAGAGCATATCTCCCTCCACAGAGGTCATATAGGGATTTGTCTTATATCAAATTGAATCTTGAGATGTTAGCTATGTGGTGTCAAAATTTGGTATCAATTGAAGATGTATTTCATTCTGTATGTTCGTTTGAGTGAGGACTGCACAGGGACGCCATGTGCAGGGGCGCTGTACATGGCTGCAACTTCCACGAATTGTTTCTCCCCCCTAACCTCATTCACGATGTTTATATCATTATATTAGCTCTCTAACTATAATTTTCTAATTTGGAGCTATTCTACTGACTGTTATTACGTCAGCAGTCAAACTTAACAGATGAAAATTCATCTGTGCATAATACCCTCAATATAAGGTCCTCATCATTACCCTCAAATTTAAGATCACAAAATTAGGGTCATTATATTCACCACACCTTTTAAAAAGATTTTGTCCTCAAAATCGGATGATACCCGATATCAAACTCGGGAAATCGCCGGAGAATATCATCCCCCTCTCCCATGTGGCGTCCTCAGGTGTCAATCCCTCCCATTGAATCTTGATCATGGTAATAACTGTATTTCGAAGCCGTTTCTCATCTCGAGCAAGAACCTTAGAAGGTCCAACAACGAACTTCCGGTCCTTCTTAACCTCTTTGTCATCATGTTGTACAATGTGTGAGTCATCAGATATATATCTGCAGAGTTGACTCACATGGAAGACGTCATGTAAATTCGCCAAGTTGGGAGGTAGAGCAAGTTGATATGCCACCGGTCCGACCGGGCCCAATGAACCGTGGACTCAACTTCCTCACTCCCAAGGCACGTCCAACACCTGTAGTGGGTGATAATCGAATGAATACATGATCCCCTTCAGAAAACTCAAGGGGTCTGTGCTTGGCATCATAGTAACTCTTTTGACGGCTTTGGGCTTTCTTCAGCCTATCTCTGATCATCTCAATCTGCTCTGTAGTCTCTTAGACCAAGTCTGGCCCCAATAACTGTCTTTCTCCAATCTCTGTCCAACAAGTAGGTTCTCTACACCTACGGCCGTACAAGGCCTCATAAGGAGCCATGCCCAAACTGGCATGATAACTGTTGTTGTAGGAGAACTCAACCAGTGGCAGGTACTTGTCCCAAGCATTACCCTGCTCTATCACACATGCTCTCAGCATGTCCTCTAGTGTCTGAATGGTCCTCTCTGTCTGACCATCTGTCTGCAGGTGGTATACAGTACTCAATCTCAATTGAGTACCAAAGGCCTCATGAGCGCTTCCCAGAAGCGTGAAGTAAACTTCCAATCCCGATCACTGACTATGCTTTCGGGAATGCCATGAAGATTCACAATCTCTCTGACATATAGTCTGGCTAACTGCTCTGTGGAGAAAGTCGTCTTGACAGGAATGAAATGAGCGGATTTAGTCAACCTATCAACCACAACCCATATGGAATCAAATCCAGCATGGCTTCTTGTTAATCCAACAACAAAGTTCATGGATATACTCGTCCACTTCCACTCCGGAATATCTAATGGCTGTAACAAACCAGAAGGCTTCTGATGCTCAATTTTTACTTTCTGACAAATAAGGCACTTATTCACAAACTGGGCTATGTCTTTCTTCATCCCAGACCACCAAAAACTGCATGTCACTACACAAAACTGCACGAGGTATGAGTTAGCTACGCTCAATCAAGTGATAGCATATGCAATATCATGACACTCAATAAATAGTTCTAACACTTAAGCAATACATCAGTGAACGTCCCGGTGAAACTGCTCTGATACCATAAATGTAACACCCCGTAGTACTCCGGTTGTTAACATATATGATATTTAACATTCACAGCGGAAGACTTTATTTGAAAAGGAATAAAACATCTTATAAAAATACGAGTAAACTTTTTCCAAAACATTTTATAAAAATATTTCTAAAAACGTTCACGTGAGATACTGCGAGAGCGTACATCTAAACATACATCTAGAAATTAATCCCATGAGACAGTATTAGTGGCCATTGACCATCAAGATATGACATCAAGTGTCATTCCTAACGGAGTCTCACGGACAGCATAACAGCTGTATTTTGGATAATTGGGAACCTGGTCCCACACATACAGTTAACCTGATAAATATAATAATTTAAACAGACAGCTTGCAAGTCCCACACGAACTGCAATCCCCTCAATGGGTCAATACAAACAAGAAGGCTCCATGCCCAAATTAACTGAATGCATACATCAAGTCTATATTAATTCAAATTATAAAAACATCAGTAATTAATCCATAGCTCTAAGGATACAATCATGAGCCTAAATAAACACATACAATAATCTCCATAAAATAATTCAGCATGTTAACAAGTCTACATGCTAACATCAAATCTAAACATAATATAAAATCATCAACTGCATCATCATCTACTCCAATGCGGGGGCCTTGCCCCTAGAAGCATCACCACTACTCTGTGTACCTGAAATGATGTCCCCAAACGGGGTAAGATAACAACATCTCAATAAGCTCAAGGTTCATAGAAGATCCTCTAATCCCCTGAGCCCAATTCCTGCATGACAAGTCAGATATAAAGCATATAATACAAACATACAACAAAAACATAGCATCATCATATCATCCTTGTGTAACCCCAGGGTCAAAGCCATAGACGGTTACACATGTGTGACTTCTAGGGCCAAGCCATAGACAGTCAACACAACCTCAGTATGAAATAGCTCCCAGAGTCAAGTCATAGGCAGCCTGCATACCATGATCACTGGCCAGGATCCTCATAAGATATATCATCAGTGCATCATCATAACATCAAGATCATATAACAACTATATGAATGTGAATGAATGCACATATACATCATACCATATACCTTCATACAATATAACCATAATGCCCACCATTATGGTGGGGCCACAAGAGAGAGTAGTCAACTAGAACTAGGAGCTTACCTCAGGGAGCTTAGCACAAGCCCATACTCCAATAGTATATGTATGCTTCAACAAAATCCTCGAGTGTACGGTTCTCTAGGCACACCTAGAGCTGGAACCATTCACATCACTAATTACACATTAATTAATCAAGTCATATCCACGACTTAATCATTTAATGATTTCACTTTTCATACTTATATGCCAATAATATGCCCATTACAAGTCTAGACCAATTATTACATAATTACGTATTTTAGTGCATTATTACAAGCTACCTAAATCTTCAATTAATTACATAACTTAGAATCACATGCAAGTCTCACTTAGGTAACTTAGATTATTTTGAACTCATCCAAGCCATATTCATGATTATTATAAGTTACTAAGGGTTCCCCTAAGCCCAATTAGCTTAAATATCACTTTTACGGTTTTCCAATAACTGTACATGCTTCTGTTTTCTAGTCACTGAGCATAACTAACTTGTTAAAAAATTCTCATATTTTAATATGTTAGTATAGATGCAATTACCTTTCCAAAAAGGTATCACATGCCTCATTTGGAGTTTCCTAACTCCGGTTATCCCTATTTGAAGTTGGACAAGCAAAGCTGTTTGCCAACTCCAAACAGAGCCCTAAACATCCTTTACCATTTCTACGATTCTGAAAAATATCCTAAACCAATTGCTCTCAAAGTTTTATGTAGACAACTAGACACCTTTATCTTTAATTCTACATATTATTATCCTAATTTGAGTAAGTACAGAGGGAGAAAAAATCCGTGGAAGTTGTAGCCATGTACAGTGCCCCTACACATGGCCTCCTTGTGCAGTCCTCACTCAAACATACATACAAAATGTAATACATCTTCAATTGATACCAAATTTTGACACCACATAGCTAACATCTCAAGCTTCAATTTGATATAAGGTACAACCCTATATGACTTCTATGGAGGGATATATGCTCTCCCCAATTTTGCCTAAAAACTGGTTACTTAGCCTTAAATGTGTTTAAGATTTAATTAAACAATTATGCTTAATCCACCTCACTTGGTCCCTCCATTAGTGTCCTAATTAAGTCTTAGAACCATTTTAAGACATCAAACCATAATATATATCCATATGGTTGAATTGAATAGTCATAAGATTAAGGATTTTACTTGTCTTTTTAACACACTTTCATGGTTTAATTAAGTCCTTTATGTCTTTAGTCCCCAAAGGTGTCACCTTTATTAATTTTAACCCTAAACCCTAATATTAATGAAGAGGGCAGAATCAAAGCATGGAATTTTTAGGGTTCTTAGTTCATCCACATCAAAAACAACTCACACACAAGCCAAATGTGACACTTTTTCTTACAAGTCTTCATCTTTCTTGAGTTTTAAACCTCTACCACACATTTAACCATCAAGACCCCATTTTTTAATAATTTACAACATCATTATCAATATATAATTATTATGGATGAAATGGAAAGTGGGAGGAAGAAGGGTTTGGATTCATCTTTTCCATGGATTCAAGCCTTACCTCTCCAAGATGGCTCCTTTAGATCAAGATCCAACCTTTACTTACCAAGAATGCTTCTTTTTTTACCAAGAACCCACCTTCATGAAATATTCAAGTATTTAGAACCAAGAACATGAATTTAAAAAAGAAAAGGTAGGGTTTTTCAAGAAGAAAATGTAAGAAACTTACACTAGACTCAAGAAAACAAGCACCAAGGAGTGTTCTTCTAAGAGAATTCAAAATAACATCTCCATGACATGAAGAAGCTCCAAAATCGCTGCTGTATGGGAAGGTCTCCACCATGAAAATTTGGTTTTTCGAAATAAAAATAGGATATTATTGAAGATGATGATGAGGGGAACAACTTTGGTGAAGAGTGTTTTGGATTTTAATGAAGTTTAGGTGGTGGGATCTTAGAGAGAAGGTGGAGAAAATTTGAAAACCTCAAGGTAGAGAGAGTGAAGTGGGCTGCTGATGGGAAGGGAAGGGGAAGAGTCTTCTTATATTTTTAGGGTTTTCGCCATGTCATTAAGTGACTTTCTGTCATTTAATGATGCCCGGTGTAATTTTTCTCTGAACGGTTATCAAATTTCTACCCTGAAACACCCAAGACTCTAACTTAACATTTTTTGTCTAATTATGACTTGTTAGGCATATATTGGACTTTATTTCCATTTTCTCATCCTTTTACCGTTCCGAGATTCTACCGGCTGTTGCTACAGCAGTACAAAATATCCGACAAAAGTGACTTTTGAAAAATACCCCAATATGGGTATCAATCTTCATCAAATTATATCCTAACCCCATTCATGATGTTTATATCATTAGATTAGGTCTCTAAGTATAATTTGCTAATTTGGAGCTATTCTACTAACTGTTATTACGTTAACAGTCAAAATTAACAGATGAAAATTCATCTGTGCATAATACCCTCAATATGGGTATCAAAATTAATTCTTAGAATTTCATTTTCATTCTATTTATGACCATAAAGTCCTTATCATTACCCTCAAATTTAAGATCACAAAATTAGAGTCATTATAATCACGATCCAAAACATGCCCCTCTCTGGCTTTGAGGGAGGGGGGTATTTATAAGGGATGATATACTCGCTTGGGGTGAGTTGGTGAGAGGGGTCAACTCTGGGAACGCCAGACCTGGCTGATGCTGCTGTGGTGATAGTGGTGCAGTCATTACGCCAGTGATTGCAGCATCGGGTGTCACTGCTGCAAAGAGGGGATTACCATTTATTGCACCTGGGGTGGTATCTTGCATGGTTGGTAACCCTAGGTGAGACATTTTGATGTCTCACATGGAGGAAGTAGTCGCCCAGGAGACAAGATTGTAATGCAACCTTTGCACACGGTGATTATTGATTTCCAAAGGAGTTGACAAATTTCTAGTGTCACGTGATTGTAAGCTTGCTCTACCTGGAGTAAATGAATAAAAGTATGAATTTGAGGCAGGGAGCACAACCGAATGTGAATCAATCACGTTCTGAATCAGAGTGAGGTTTGCACTACATATTGATTTGGAAACCACAATTGATGCCTCATGATCATGGCTTGGGAGAATGATTATCTTCATTGATTACAGGTCACCCACTCCTAACTTACCCGCTATCGATTTAATTGTATATGCAAGCTGTCAATACTCTATAAATCTCCCAAATGTTTCGAAACTTATGTCATGTGGTGAACCTCTCCACAAATCAATTGTGTCTCATTTGTCTTGTGATGTTTCAAAATTTCTGCTGATTAATTCAAAAGCATTAACAATTTATTTATTATTTTTTTCTGCCGTATTTGGCCAAAAAAGAATGCTCCATAGTAGACTTTTCTTTCCCTTAATAACATCTTTACAAAAATACGTTGCGTTCTTTTTTTTTTTGATAAACTGCGTTCTTTATTGTTAAAAAGGAATGTTCTAAAAATACATTTTATTTTTTAACCATTGATAGAAATATTTTTATAATTAATATTATTACAATGTATCAATAAGAGTGAAAAGTCACATAAATATGTTTATAAATAAAAGAGTAAAGACCCAAATTGGTCCCTGACAAAAAATGCGGTGGCCAATTTAGTCCCTAAGAAAAATAAACTCAAAAAATAGTCCCCAACAATGTCAAACAGGACCCACGTTAGTCCTTCTGTCAACTCAAAATCGACGGTGTGAGTGAC